CAAATCTCTGTTGGTGTGGCTCAAAAAATCATAAAAAGTCATTTTTATTATAAAAAAGTAGGAGATTTGGGGATATAACTTAGTGGCTGAGCACATGCCTTGCCTTTATGAGGCCCTGGATTCTTTGCTGGCAAATCACATTCTCAGATACACACATATTTTTATTGCTGTACTGTTCTGGACAAAATATTTAGGTATTTCATAGATATCTCATTTCTATTTTCTAACAAATTTTGCATTGCCTACTTCAAGCACAACTCAGCTTATTTTATATAATGTTATATATATTTATTAAGTATGAAAACTTTTTCCCTTTTAACACTTTTCAGCAGAAATCTGAAAGAAATCACTTTAAAGATAGCAAAATGAAAGTTATTGTTATAATTATTTTATCAATATATGACAATGACATTTGTTGCCTGCTGATTTTGAACCTATCTCTTCTCTCCCTAGTAGGACAAATATTTTATTTATTTGGGGGGGGCCACATTCAGCTGCACTCAGGGCTAATTCTTGGCTTTGCACTCCTAGTGGGCTCAGGGGACCATATGTGTTGCTAGGGATTGAACCTGGGTCAGTCATGTGCAAAGCAAGTGCTTTCACCACTCTACTATTGCACTAGCCAGGAGAAACATTTTTTTGTTTTATTTTTAAAATTACATTCTATTTTAAATGGTATATCAGCAACTTTGATTTGAAAAGAAATTCCATATTTCCAGTACTTAGAATTTTCCAGAGCGAACTTATGTTCCTTTTTTTTTTATTGTAGGAGTACTGCTATTTATTCAGCTGCTGATTAGACTGATTGAGTTGGGCATGAACTCCACCTTACTTTTTTTTTTCATTTTTTATAGTTTTATTTATTGAATCGCCGTGAGAGCAGTTACAAAGATTTTGGGTTTAAGTCTTGGTCATACAATGAAATACCCGTACCTTCACCAGTGCCCATTCTCCACCACCAAAATCCCCAGTATACCTCCATCCCACACCATCCCCCTACCTGGGGGGCAGATGATTTCCACATTACTCTCTCTCTACTTTGATTGCATTCAATATTTTGACACCAGACCCATCATTATTATTTGGAATTTTACCCCAACACTCAGATCTGCCAAAAAGGCAACAGTGGACAATTTGTTTTCTATTGCTGGTTATGAATAATATATGATGTCACATGGCTGCAGTAGTGCCCTTTCGATTTTGAAATTCCGAAATTTTAACAATTGAATCTAGAGGGATTTCTGCCAAAGCTTGCTGGGTTCCGAGATTTGTTCCTGAGTCTCTTGGATTATGGCCATTTAGCAGCTTGATCAGGAGCCAGAGAGACTGTTTGTGGGCAGCAATTCAGGGTCTCGTTGGGGCAGGGAGGAAAGGGCCGGCTCCACCCCCATCCCATGAAGCCCCATGATCTCATCACTGCGGGCCCAAATCTGACTTTCCAGTGGTCTCTGGAGGATGGTGGCCACCGGGCTGCCAGGGGGAACAGGCCAAAGCATGAAACCTATTCCCACCTGGGGTGGCCCAGCACAGGTAACCTACTGCAGGGACTGGATGTATTTCTGCAAAAATCTCTGGCATCATGGCCATCAAGCAGTTTGATCAGGAGCCAGAGAGGCCATGCCTCCAATTATATAGCTGAGCCAGAGGTGGTTTATGGGTGTGTTTCCCACATACCTAACTTTTGGCCGTTTACTTTCTTGGCAAACTTTGCCCCAAGTTTTTGGAGTCTGGCCAAAGGCACAACAGCGATTTTGGGATATTTGGAAGCCTAAAGGCACCATCATGCTTCTGATGCACTCACCTCATAGGTACAGATTAACCTGCTGGCGGCACCATACCCCCAAGGGACCTTATGTTGTTAAGGATTCTTTCATTCCTTCATTTATTCTACAAATATTATCTGGGCTGAAGAAGACAAAAAAAACCGAAACAAACAAACAAACAAAAAAACCATTAGCTTTTGACTAAGTCACAATCCGCCTCCAGTCCTCTGTAATGGCTGAAACAAGGCATCTGTCACCCAACACTCTATAGGAGACTGGAGAAAGGAAAGGGCCAATTCTTTGTATGTAGTTAGTAGGGTCTTCCAGCAGAAAACTTTTTTCCTGAGCAAAATTTCAGAAGAGTGGGAGATTTTACAGTAATCAGGTACAACTAGAAGGAAGGATAGGGAAAAATAACTATTTCTGCCACCTGTAAAAAGAAGATTTGGTGGCTGGAAAGATAGTACAAAGATTGAGGTGCTTGTCTTGCATAAGGTCAACCTGGTTTGAATACCAGCACTCCTGAGTGCTTCTTGTGTGACCCAAGCTCTTGCTCCCCCAAATAAAAAAGATATCTAGCAAGTGGTATGACTCTTTTGCTAATGAACTATGTGACCAGCAGGGTAGGGGTGGGGCAGGGTGGTGGTGAATAACTTAATATCAGATGGAAACATAAACTTTAGCCTATTAGTGATTATGAAATTTGATTAACATGATTATTTCCAATATAGGCTGTTGTGCTGAGCAACGAAGCACAACAATATTTCAATAGGTTAATCCAACACAAATTTAAATTCCGCTTATACAGATTTTATTGTAGACCTTGGGACTCTCAAAGACAACTATGCTCAGGTTAATAGCTTAGCATTCCAGGATCTTTCTATCCTGTGCTCTCACCATTTAATATGAACTTAATACATACTCCAGGGTTGCAGAAGCCAAATCAAGCACTGACACTTAAGTGTTTCCACCAGGAAATAAAGCCTTTCAAGCTTTCTCACATTTGCTTACCAAAACAGGCTACATTAGATTGCCTAATTTTAGTGATGTAGGAGCTGAATCGTCCCCTACACCTAAAATCATAGAAGGGAGAAAATATTAGTGAGCATTGAAAATTCCTTTAGAAATATTCAATGTTTCACCTTAATCTAGTGGAGTCACCAATACTAGCATGTCATAAATTAAAGTTGAAACTAATTAAAATGTGTTCTAGATCTTGTCGTTGAAAGTAAGAGACTTTAAAGTATCACTGCTTCTCACTGTTTGCATTACTGTTTGAGCAAGCAACTAAATGAAAAGCAATCATTTAGAAGTGTGACTCATAAAATTATTTAACCTGAGAAATTTTGAAGGCTGAAATCTTGAGTCATTTAAAAATTTAAAAATTTAAAAATTTAATTTATTTAAAAATTTAATAAATTTAAAAATTTATACTATTAATTTATAATTTATAATATTATTAATTTAGAAACAATTAATTAACACTTATTAATGTTAAATTGATTTAGTATTAGTATTATTTAGCATTAGTATTTAGTATTAAAAACAACTTTTCCTGATATTGTTCCAGTGTTATAGTTCAATATTGCTATAAAATAGGCCATTTTAATCTGAGAGGCCAGGAAGATAGCTCATGTGTTATAGCACATACTTTGCATGTGAGAGAGTGAGAGAGCTGGGTTTCATGCCCAGCACCAGTGGTTTCTTGAACACCTGTCAGAAGAAACTATTGGGCACTGAATCAGGAGCAACACCCAAACTTTCTTGGTGCCCAAACAACAACAAAATCCAATAATGAAGTCTATTTTGGTTTGTCCCATATTTGTACATTTAATGTTTTACTTTCAATATTTCTCTGTATCTTATCTGAAAGGAATTGGGAAAATAGTAAAAACAGATATGGCATGTCCATAGGTAACTACCATGTGTCAAGCAAACATGACAGATTTGGTTATGAAAGAAATTAGTAGTAGGGGCCAGAATGATAGTACAGTGGGTAGGGCACATGAAGTTTCTGGGTTCAATCCTCAGCATCCCAAATGGTCCCTTAAGCCCTGCCAGAAGTGATGCTTGAGCTCAGAGACAGGAGTAAACCCTGAACTCCACTGGGTGTGGCCCAAAACATAAAAAAAGAAAAAAAATAAAAGAAACAAGGAACTCTGTCATATTCAAGTTTATTGCTCATATCATAGCAGATGAAAAATGGGCCAATATGCCAGCTCCTCATGGACCATGTCTCAGAGAACAATAACAGAAACCAAGACAACTACAAAGTGGATGACAGTACACACCTTTGCTGAGAAATCAATGCCATGTTACAGGGAAGCAGTTTTATGGCCTACAGCTGCATTCAATAAATTCCAACCATTGCTGCATATTCTACATCTCAGGGACACACCTATCAGGTATTCATTCTCATTCCTGCTCTGGGTACATCGTATCTCATCTTGAAGCAAGGAAGCCACTGAGAAACTGTCTCTAGGAGGTTTCCCAGCAAGACTGGGAGGCCAAATAATCTCCCATTACACACTTCACGGACTTGTGATTACCACATTTCCATGTAGAGACATTAAGAAGGCCCAGGAGTCCTGCCGGAATTATTCTCCTTCCCCATACACAACTTTAAGGGTCTCTGAGAAAGATTATAAAAGAAAGAAGCAAAAGTGAGTAAAAATAACAAGAAGAATTAGACATCTCAGATTGGACAGTAGTCAGTGGTTAGTTGGCCAGGGAATGGTCACACAGGGGTATCAGAGGTGGCTCTTTGGGCAAGAGGCAAATGACAGTCTATTGAATACAGCACTCAGGGGCAGTAAGCCTCCCCAGCAACCAGATCCAGAAACTATCACTGTCCTGTCACTGTCCTCCCGTTGTTCATTGATTTGCTCGAGTGGGCCCAGTAACATCTCCATTGTGACACTCTCGGTAGCTTGCCGGGCTCTCTGAGAGGGGCGGAGGAATCGAACCTGGGTTTGCTGGCCAGGTTCATGGCAAAACGCCCTACCTGCTGTGCTATCACTCCAGCACCCAGAAACAGTATTTTAGATAAATCAAACCCAAAGTGGGAAGGCTTAAGATTTTTATTTTATTTTTTGGGGGAGGGGGGTTGCTCCAGGTGATGCCTGAAGGGGGAGTGGGGGAACCATGCAGTAACTTGGGTTTCCACAAGCAAAGCATGTCTTCTAGCTCTGGGTCTGACCCTGTTTACAATTTTAGAAGAAAGAATTTTTAAAGGCAATACTTAGTTGGCAAGGGAGATATGATCGTGAAGGTGGTTTTCCCAGGTTGAAGTTTATCCATTGTACTCTGGGTGTGCTGACCCCTGCAATTTCCCCAAATGTAGGAAACACTACTGCATAATTTGTGATAACAGGGGACTGTGTTTGCCCTCTCCCCTGGAAAAAATAGAATTTGTAAAGGCAAATCAATAAGATAATAAACATTGGACACTCTTTTATGTTTTGCTTGATATGTCATTATGCACTTAAAAAGTTTTTGTCATAACATGCTTGTTGATAATTACTTCGTTACAGAGACAGGAAGAAAGAACAGTGGTTAAGGTACTTGCCTTGTACACAACCAACTTGGGCTCCATCTATAGCTTTGCATATGGTCACTCATAACTAAATGAATATGGCTGAGAGATAGTACAGTGAGTAAGGACCTTGTCTTTCATGCAGCTAACTAGGGTTTGACTGCTGGCACCACATATGGTCCCTGAACACTATATGAAGTACTCCCTGAGTACAGAGCCAGGAATAAACCCTGAACACAACAGACAGGTGTGGCTCAAACCTAAAATAAATACTTTAAGATTTGTATGAGTAGTCCTCAATACTCTACAAAGATAAATATGCCAGTTTTAAAAAGCTAGCTAGGGGTCAGAGAGATGGTACTGTGGGTAGGGCTTGCACATGGCTGACAGGGCTTCCATTCCCAGCATCCCATAGGGTCACCTGAATTTGCCAAGACTGCAGAGTCAGGAGTAATCCTTGAGCATTGCTGGGTGTGGCCTAAAATCAGCGGGGGTTAACTGCAGAGCCATAGGAACTGACAAGTTATAGATGAACCTTACCTCAGTGAAATTTCATTTAAAAAAAAATCCACCTTTTTTTTATATGAAGAGATATACAAAACTGAATATATGCACAGGAAGGAATAAAAATTAGTGACAGCCCATAGTAGACAAGTCATATTACAAAGCAGTATCTTTCAGTATAATATCTGCAATCTTTTTGATTGACATAATGCATAAGCAACTAAAATTGCATTTAGTCCTGCAAAGTCCTGCAATCATTAGAATGATTCGAAATATCAATTGAATTTTGCTTTGGTTTTTGGCTCATACCCTGTGAAGCTCAAGGGTTACTTCTGGCGCTGCACTTAGGAATCACGTGCTTGGAAGATCATATGGGATGCCAGAGATCCGACCAGGGTCAGCCGCTTGCAAGGCAAACGTCCTATCCGCTCTACTACTGCTCTGGTCCTGACCTACTAGAAGCTATCCTATCATGAAGTGAACGCCACCGCAGAGGCCTACTTACTAATGCTTTTTCCCATTTCACCTCTCTACAATGGCTTATTAAAATGGTCTCATGCTGCACATTATTTTTTTTCTTAAAGGAAGCCTTTGGACCATTCTTGCATTTAAAACAATCGGCACACCTGATAACATATATATGTATATATATACACACATTATAATATTAATATACATATGGTATGCTCATCTACCTGCTCTTCTGGTGGAAAGAATCATCTAAGAAGCATGAACGTGGGAACTAAAACTTATAAGCAGGCAGCTGTTACTCTTTCTTCTTGCAAATCTTCCAAATGATGAACAACATCAATCATTCGAATCTGAGTTTATAGACTGTCACGAGACGTAATTATTGTTCAGTCCTCCTGTCACAGTGGTTATAGGGTTTTAAAAGGAAGAAAAGAAACACGCCTCAATGAGACGGGGCAGGCTTAAACCTGCCACCGATTAGAAAGATCATAGTGTCACAGGTGCGCTGGGAACAGAAGAGCTACTTTAGATCGGGTTTAAAAGAAAAAAAAAAAAACCTCTACACTCTGGACGTCGAAGGTCAGAGCTCTGGCAGGGCGGGCTGAGGCTGCTCTCAGAGTTTCTCTGCACTTCCGCGGCGGCCCGGGGCCTCCACTCCCGGGCCCGTCAGGCAGGTCCACCCCCCTCCGCCCCCCGCCCCTGAGCTTCACACCTGTCGGGCGGGGACGTGCGGGCTGCGACGCCCTAGCGGTCGGAATGGGATGGAGCGCTCCGTGGGGGAGCTTCTTTTTCCTTCAAACCAACCCAGTCGGACCCCAAAGACGGAAAGCCCTCGGGGAAGGAAATTCCAACCCCTCCTCGCCCACCCCCGCCCCGTTTCTCTCTCCGGCTCGCTGCCTCCCTCGCTCCGATGCCGCTGAGCTTTGCAACCACTTGTGGGTTGCAGAGCGGCCGCGGCGGCAGCGAGCTCCCGGGCTCCGGCCGGGACCATGGGGCAGGGTGAGTGAGCCGGCTTGGCGGTGAGGGGGCGGGGAGGCCCCGCAGCGGCCCGCACCCCGCCCGCAGGGCCGAGGGGAGGCGCGGCTGGGCCCGGCCCGGCCCCGGGCTGGGCTGAGCCGCGGAGACGCGGCGCTTTCCCCTCCTTTCATGCCGTGGCTTGAGAGCCGCACTGAGCGCGGGCGAGCCGGGTGGGAGGGCGGCGTGGGACGGGAAGCCGACGGGGGAGCGCCGAAGAGTCCCGGTCTGCCTGGGAAAAGAAAGTAGGAGCCCGGGGATGGGCCAAGACCAGTGAACCCTCCCGACTTGGCCGCGCGAAAACTTTTCCGGGGACGCTCGGTTGGTGCAAACTCGGCGAGCGGAGCCCTCCGTGGCCGCGCGGCCGGCGGTGGCGATGGTGCCCGGCGCGCCCGGCCCCGCGCCGCCTCCTCCCGGCCGGGCCGGCTCCTCTCTCGCTCCCCGAGAGGCGCCAAATGGCGACCCAGTAACTCCCCACGGGGCGGGGGCTGAGCGCCGCCTCCCGCCGCCTCCCGCCGCGGCGGCCGCGAGAACCTGCGGCGGCCGCGGCGGCAGTTCCCGGGGGCGGGCGGCGCGAGGCCCGCAGGTGGAGACGCGGCGGAAGGCGGGCGGGTCCGGGGCCGGGGGGTGGCCGCGGGCGGGCTCTGGACCCGCGGCCAGTCGGGCTGTGGCCTGGGAAAGGCGCGCGTCCCGCCCTGACCCGCCTCTCCCCACTTGCAGCAGCGACGCGCCGCCTCGGAGCTGGAGCCCGCGCAGCGCCCCGCAGGGCGATGGAGCGCCGAGCCTCGCGCGTGCCCGAAGCCCCGCCAGCCGCGCCAGCCGGGTAAGCGCCGGCGCCGCGCCCCCGGGACGCCGAGAGCCGCCTGGCCTCCCCCCCTGCACCCCTGGCTAACTGGCCCGACTCGCCGGCCGCGCGCACACGCGGCTCCGAGGCTGCTGCGCACCCCCCCTCCCCCGCCCCTTCCCCCTCCCTCGGATTCCCCCGAGGTCTTCGGGGCCGGGGGCCGCTGCGGGTTTGGGAGCGCGTCTTCTCTGGGGGCTAGCGGGGTGGCTGAAGGGCAGCTGAATGACAGCAGTGGGGTGAGAGGTCCCGGGTGAGGATGGTAACAAAGGCGCCCTTGTTGGGACTCTGCAGCAGCGGCGGGCGCTACCTGTAAGCGAGCTCCTGGGAAAGAAAGAGAAAAGTTTCCTCGGCTGAGTGCTGAGGCCCGGGCAGATAGATGGGCAGAGTCAAGGTGACTGTCAGGAAGGGGCTTTCTGCGGGAGGGTGTGCCAGCTGTCAGCCCGCATGACAGTTCCGGGACCGCGCGGGGCCAGCGCCTCCGGTCGGGGGGTGTGTGTGCCGGTGGCCAATTGTCGGTGCCAAAGGCAGGCGCGAAGTCAGACTGCAAACAAGGATACTTTTCATCGTGGCCTCACGTGTCTGAGCCGCGACTGGGGGGGAGAGGGGCTGTCACAAGGTGAGTTAATGTTAAATGAAGCATGCCTTTCTGCCAGATATGCTAATAACCACCTTGCTAAGCGTTTGGGTAAACAGTAATGAGAACAGGTAGTTCTGCAGGAGATGAGGAGAACCTGAAAATAACCTTCATCTTAGTAAACAGTGAAGACTTCAAATAGGTTCGAGTCTTGCTCTCCGAGTGTGGGACCTCTTTCAAGTAGTTTTTTTCCCCCCTAGATGTTCTCACTCAGTTTCTTTTCTGATCCTTTACTTTGAATGCAGATACCTCCCCGGAGAGCGTAGGCACATTTAAGAAATAGAAAAAAGCAGGAAAGAGCAACTTTATAACTAATGAATGAGACTTGTCTGGTTTTCCGGATTTAAGCATGCAGAAGTCATTTTTTCCCTGGAACACGACAAGCGTTTCCTTAGAAGCAAGTTACAGCATGTTTGTTCGTCAGAGACCATGCTAACATTGGCAGGGGTAAGAAACATGGAAAAGTCTCAAAGCAACATGACTAATCTGAAAGATATTTAGGATAATGCTTAAGTAGAGGAAACTTCAGTGTGTGAATTATTCCTTCATTTTGTTTCAATTAGTTATCTTCTTTTGTCTGTAAGCAGCCCTACTACTTTCGACTACCATTCTGATACCTAAAAATGCCGACCTTTTTCCAATTCTTTTCCCAGTTTTTTTTTCCCACGACTTAGATATTACCTTTTATTAAGTAATGGTCTCACATTTGGATGTATGTAAAGATATACTTGGTTAGAAATGTGGATTATAAAAGCAAAATTTGCACACTGGAGAATCTTAATGATTTTCTGGAATACTGAAATGTATTAAGTATCATAAGATAGAGTTAAATTGTGGATTTGATAATGGATTAGGGGCTGGGGAGACAGTTTACAGGACTGGAGACTCTGAGTTGTATTGGCAGCAATGCATAGTCCTCATCAATGTCAGGTCTGTCAGGGTGTCCCTCAAGCACATCCCCCCATCCCCAGCCATCCTGGCACTGTTGGCGCCATTGACACCTGCTGAGTATCCCTGAGATTGGCCCTGGTCCCCCTGAGCACCATTTGGGAGACCCATCTACCAGATTAAAGGAAGATGCTTTAGGTAAGAATGCAATTACTTAGCAGTGTTTAGAAATCACTGTTGAGTACAAGTCAGGTGAAATCAATTCTTGTGCTGAAGGAATAGAAAGAGCTTCATGTTGTATGTGTCACGTTTGAGAAGTTTAAGGTTCAGCCGATCAATTCTTTTAAAAGGAAAATTAAAAAAAAACTAAATAATTTCTCACATAGAAAATATTTTAAAGGAATTTTACCCCTCCCTTTTCCAAGTTTAAGGAGAGGAGTGTTATCTAAATAGTAGCCCCTCTCACATTTGATCACTTGACCTGTCATTCTACTCAGGGAAGTTACATAGCTGAAAAATACAAAACAGTTCTAATCTGTCTTCTTTCACTGGTGTATCTTCTTGCCTTGGGCATAGCCAAGTGCCTTTTGATTGATCTGTATTGCTTTTTTTCTTTTTCTCAAAGAATACAGAACTTAAAAAAAAAGTTTTAATTGGCAAGGAAAATTATCCTTGATGTATTGGAAGTTGTCAGGGGAAGGACTCAATATGTTAAATTGTTAGTTTGGGAAATAAATTCCTTTCTATAAAACTCAGTCAGCCATGGGCCAGAAAGAGATCACAGTGGTAAAGGTACTTGCCTGGTGTCCCAGTGACTCTGGATTGAACTTCTAGCACTACCAGAGTCATTCCTGAGTGTAGATACAGGAATCACCCCTGAGCACCTCTAGATGTGGCTCAAAACCAAAATCAAAACAATAACTGAACAAAAAATCAATCACCCAGCACTAGAGCACTAGTTGTCTTGTCTTGCATGTATAAAGACCTTGGTTCCAACTCTGGTTCTACAAAAAATAAACCATGAATAATCTATAAGTCTCAATTAGTCCTATTCCCTGTTTATTCCCTTTGTAAAAGTTCTTTGCTAATTTTCCAAGGCTTACATGTTTGAAGCAGTTTCTTTTGAAGAAAGAGTGCACACACATATTTCACAAATGAGAATCCTAAGTACAGAGATGGAGAGTGACTTTGCTTTCCCAGAGCTTATTAGTGGCAAAACCAGAAGGAAAACCCAAGATTTCAGTTGCTTAGGTCATTGCATTAATTGCTTTTATTATTTTCCTAGTCACAGTATAATACAACATACTACAGTTTAATAAAATACTCAATTGTTATGAACTCAGTGTTGTGCTATATTTTAGGCAGATTATGGACATATTTGGTTGATGTCTTCTTTGTTCTATCCTTTGGGATAAAGATCCCTTTTGGGATATGACTGATTGTAAGAAATAGATTTTTTTTTCAGAACTTTCACACGTTTAGCTCACAAGATTTCTCATTTATGTGGGATAGGCAATTTTCATTTTCTTACATTTCAGTGGAGGTCACAGGGTACAGAGGGTGCCTCGGGCACTTAGTGTCCTGCTTTGGTGAAGTCCCATCCTCACGGGGTCTGATTGGTGATCTTTTATCTGAGACTTCAGGCACATGCCTAACTCTCTAGATCTTTCAAGGCCACAAATAAGTATCCATTTTGTGTATACTATTCTATTTCTCAGGGGCTTGTGTCTGAGATAAGACCTTGTGAAGGCCTTAACTTACTGAGGCCAGACCTTAACATACTCTGGCTGGAATGTAGCACTTTTGGATCACACTTGAATGTGATTTAATTAACACAAATTGCAGTGCCAGTATCAAGGTGTTAAATGCCATTGATACACCCAGTTTGGTTTTCTGTTGAAACTGAATTTTGCATTTATCTATCAAATGCCAATATATTCACATATAACTAGCACAATCTATATTGTATACATAACAAATATTCATTTGCCGAAAATTGACCTAGGTGGAAATTGTGATAATTTTCATGTATTTTTGTTCCTACAAAGTGGAAATGTCAGGTGATTTGTATGTATTTCATTGAGGAGAATGACACTACTGGAAAGTTGGTCCAGAACTTTGTGTTTTATTGATGAGAATGACACTACTTGAAAAATTGGAATTCTGTTTGAGACAGGAAGATGGTAACCAAGAGTAATGTCCCTCTCTGTCATATATATCCAATTAGTAAAGTTATTCAAGTTTCTGTCTTAGTGCTTATTAAAGTGACATGAATCACTTGAAAGAAGCAATGTGATTTATGACATCACCATCTTTTGAGCTACTGCTAGATGTGTTTTTCCTTGCCTATATATATTACATTCAGTCACAGTCCTCCCGTTGTCCATGGATTTGCTCGAGCGGACCTAGTAACGTCTCCATCGTGAGACTTGATGTTTGGCATATCGAATACGTTACGGGGAGCTTGCCAGGCTCTGCCGTGCGGGCGAGATACTCTTGGTAGCTTGCCGGGCTCTCCGAGAGGGGCGGAGGAATCGAACTTGGGTTGGCCATGTTGGCTGCATGCAAGGCAAAAGCCCTACCGCTGTGCTATTGCTCCAGCCCATATATATTAATGCTTTGAAATTTAAATATCTTAATTGTAGTGGAGAGAATTTAAAGTTTTGGTTCTGAAACAAGTTTGGGAATGGACAAGGGGAAAAGCCAGCTTTAGAGAATGGTATTAATTTAAGGGGTGTGTGTGTGTGTGTGTGTGTGTGTGTGTGTGTGTGTGTGTACGTGTGTGTTGGTATATGTGTATTGGAAGTATTTACAAGCTACCTTTTTAAAGATTCTTTGAGAATACATTATCTATTTTGATGTTTTACTGATTTTATAAACTGAGTTCTTGTTTGCTAACATAGGCGTACAAACTGAATGACTGACTTGTGGTTTCAGTGTATAATCTGGGGATCTTTAAAACTAACACCCATGTGCTCATTAGGTACTTGGCCTCAACTAGGATGTCGGCACGGAGAGTTTTAAAATGCTGTGAAGGTGATACTAATATGCAGCCAGAGCTGAGAACCATTATTAAGTAGGTATCAACAGCTGAGATGGAAATGAAGCCACAAATGGAATGGAGCCTGCTATTAATCATTTGTAAGGAACATAAAAGCCTGGCTCAAGATACCAACTTTCATTTTGCCTTTGTAAAGATTCTATTTGGATGGTTTATTGCGGTTTATTGTGTTGTTTTATTTTTTGTAGTATTAATTTGTTGAATTTAAAAATAGTTTTGGCCACACCTGCTGTTGCTCAGAGATGGCTACTCCCAGCTCTGTGTTCCCAGTGGTGCTGAGGACACTATGCAGGACAGGGATTAAGCCCAGGCCTCTTGCATGTCAAGCCATCACTGCAGCCCTTTGAGCTATTTTTAAAAACAATTGCTACTCCTTCTGAGAAAGTGCATTAACTT